TCTCTCAAGGCGGCGAGAATTGGAAAATGTTGTGGCAGTGAAAATAATCCCTAGAGTCCTGGAGTGAGTCACAATGACATTTGTGAAATGTTTTCATCATGTCATTAACTCAACAAATTGAAAAAATTCCTAGGAGCGAAAAATAAATAGTTTATACAACGTACATCCACAACAAAAATATGCAAATTAAGAATTCCTGGTCAGAAAATTAATTTTGCCTACAACATTCCCAGGAACATTACAAGCTGTGTTTATGACTTTAATGAAAACTGTTGTAAAGTAATAATGTCAATGTAAATATGGAATAGACTTTACAAAATGATGATTACGTGACTAAGGACATAAAAGTATTTTTAATCAATTTTGTTGTAGTCTGCCAGTCAATCAAAAAAAACAGTGAAGCCCAACATTGTCTGAGAAGTAAAACAAGTCTTAGTTTGTATCCTCGGGCGGACATCGAGGCATTTTCACCTCCTGGCAACCATCACGTTGAAAACAAAGACCGTAAACTCCCAGAAAACTGTACTTTGGGCTAGTTGTTGAGACTCTTCTAAATAGTGTAACAAGATTACACTTATATGTGCAACATAGACATTTGGTTGCTCAGGATTACTTCATAGTTTGTGCTGTTTCCTCAACATTAGCTCGTGCAGTCCATAGAAATACATGGGACAGTGGTGTGCGCTTAGCAACCAAGAACGTTCTGTGACGTAGCTCTGCCCCGAGGATAGTCACAACATATCGCATGACAACCAAGGCAATAAGATGACCACCATTTTGGATTTGATAGACAAAAATGCATATGCAAGGATTTGATTGATTATGTGTGATGTTTGAATATGATCTGTTGAGGTATGTCAAAGATGCATTATTTTTTTAAAAAAATGTTGAATTTATGGTCCCATTATGTTCAACGTATGTACCAAGTTTGACAAATACCAGTTCTCGAATGGCATTTTAGGCATTAAAACTACTGCCATTCATCATTCTTGAATCCAATCATAAAACAAATGAATGTATACATGTCCAAAATAATTGTTTCAGGCATGTGCGAGATATGGCTGGATACGGACAGACTCATGCATGCATGACTTTGTGCACACTGAAGTCGGACAGCTAGGTCAATCATTCATCATCTAAGAATAAAAAGTATCAAAGTCAAAGCCAACAGCACTGGTATTTTTCAGTAGTTTGTGGCTGTCGACTTTATTTTAGATCCTGCTGTTAATTATACAGGTCTACCCATGATAAAGAACACCTGTTCAGACAGTTGATATAGGAAAGTGAAGGTGTAAGTTATTTTATAAACTCAGTATCACACACAGAATACCTGCGAATGTTACCCAGTGTCTTTTTGAAAACAAACTTTTTGTGAGGAATGACATGCATGCATTTCATACTGTTTTATTGAATGTAATACCAGAATAACAAAGCTTTTTTTTGTGACTGGAATCTTAGCAAAAGGCAAGCGATTTGAAAATGGTGGACTGTAACATTTGGAGGGAATACGTTCCCAATACTGCCAGTACCAGTGTGGTTGAATTTTCCTTATTTCCAGTACTTTCAACTCTAGTGATGAGTTGACTTTAAAATAGAAAAATCAATTCTTTTAATTTAGAAGTACAAACTCACTTGCTGTGAGAGTAAATAGCCCTGCTCCTGGCAGAGGTGAAAATAACATACAGTACAATTACCCATACTGAAAATCACTGTCAAAATAGATTACAAACATATGCACAGTGAAAAAATATTTGATATGCAACTAGAAAAAAATAAGTCTTATACATGTTATATGTAGTCTGTTGATAAACTTTTTTACAAACAATTTCAGATTTCAACTGCTAACGTTACAGTATTAATTATTTCTGTAGGTTAAAAGAAATTGGCTTAGTCAGCTCTGACATGTTCAAGTACTTTTTTTCCCCTTGCCTTTCTAATCACAATCACAGGAAATAATTTGACAACATTTCAAGAAATTCTTGCATCAAGAGAATTTCAGCATAATCCATTCTTAATGTTCTTCCTGCATGCAGCACCTCATGGTGTAAACTGGGAGGATAACTTCCTGCACAAGTACAACTCAGTTCTCTTGCCAGCACCTGTAAGAACTACAAATCAAATAATTCAATGTAAAAACAGGTGTATTTATGTGAATCTATATAATCTATATAATCACATAAACATTTTTAAAAATAATAGGTCATTGTTATTTAGAAGTTGTCGTTGAGAACAATTTGATTTAAAGGGCAGCAGTCGTCGCGCTGTGCATGTGCGACATTCCTGTTGATAAACATTGATTAATCCAATGCGCTCTTCTAATGGAAATCACAAGTATGAGGTTCCACCGAGGCGCGACTAATACTAATTACCGCTCATGACTCTTTCGATACCTTCTAAACACCTAATAAAATAAAAAGGTCTCAGTTTGTAGTCGTTGATCTGCGCAACAGTCAAAGTGGCCATCTTTGTTTATACGAGACCCATATATCTTGTGCATGCGTAGCGCGACGACTACCGCCCTTTGATTTTTGTTATTTTTAGTGCTGTATATTTACTTCTAATCTTTAATATATTCTTGAAATTCATTTCTTTAAAATTGAGGTATTTCTTATTTCACTTTTTTCCATGCATTTCCTATTTCCTATGCGGACATCGGAGTACCACACCAGCCTATCAGAAAGTAAGCCTGGCTTTGTGAGTACATAAGGAATGGTGCCTGCACTTAGTTGCTACAATTTACTGCTGTTTATATTTGCTTTTTTATGAAATAAAGAATTTCAGAGTGTTTTACGATACACCACTGATCATAGTCTTCTTTGGCTCAGAATATAGTCTCCAGGTCTTAACATCCAGTAATATTTTAGACCCAAGTGTGGAAAGCATATATCACTGATTCTCTCAGTATATAAATTCTCCCCACCCACGGAAGTATTTTAGTTAATTTTACATGCCGACAGATTTTCGTTATGCGATCTCCAAAACTTGAATAACCTAAAGTGACTGTCGTATAGCTTTGATTGGCAGAGTTATTAGTTCAATGATTATAACACGAATGAGAATTTCTATTTGTGCCAGTCGAAATTGTTGGGGTTCATGATCAGAAAAATGAAAAAAAAAAATGCTTTCTAAAATACAGCTTCCAGGAATGCCACAGAGTGAACTGTATTTAAATGCTATTGCATTGTCCCACAATGAGTTGTGTATTAGAGAATAATGCAGTAACTATACAGTATTTGTCAGACTAGAAGCGTGTATCCAAATAGCACATGTGAGCCCAAAATTGCAATTCATTACTAAATAAACCTTTATTTGACTATAAAACACCCATGACATTTATATAATCACATACGCTACTAACAGAGGAAATATGATATAAAATCTATGTTGTTGTAAACTCATAGAAGCTGTAACCTCCAGTTACAAATATAGTTTATAGGGCTGTAGTTTAGAAACCCTGCCCACTTCTACTAAACCATGCCTAAATTATAATTCGCTGGTCAGTTAACAGTTAAACAAGCAGCCTGATGGCTGAGATAGCTCTGCTGTTAGCAATGCACATTTCAATTAAAGAACTGAAGATATCATTAGAAAATGAACAATATGTATAGTATCAAA